GTGGAATACTAGTTGGTAAAGACACTCTCGAAAGACAATGATTTTCTGTTAAAGGTAGTAAATGTGAACTTAAAAGAATACAAATACAAAATACAAAAGAATACAAATACAAACCCAGTTAATGGTCACTGAAAGAACCTTCTGTGATTTTGTGCTGTATGCAAAGTTGAAAGGATCTACAGAGATGAGCCTTTAATTGCCTGATTTCATGGCGCTCGGGAGACTGGCACTACCGGATTTTTGCGGACTTTGTACTTGTACTATATTCCAGATTCAAAATGACTGCAAGCAATCCAAAAACTCATCTAAAATGTGAATCAAAATTGTCTACTTTTGAGGCAATCAAATGTGATATATCACCAGAAAACTTGCCATCACTTGGCAAAGAAAGTCTGAAGCAATATTGTAAGGAATTGAGGCTAAAGGTCACCGGGGAAAAGCAAGAACTTGTTGAAAGGTTGGCTCCTCTAGGGAAATCTGCTGAACTATTCCAGAAGAAAGTACTTCGCATTAGTCAAACTTATAAATTCTCCACCTCACTTGAAGCCTCGGAAGTTCCTCCTCCATCGGCAAATTGGAAAATAATAGGAAGAAATGAAGATCCTAACGTCCCTGTGGTTAAAGAAAATACTTTTCGAGACTACCAAAAAGCCAAATACGCAGGTAAAAAAGGTCAGTACCGAAAGGCGCACCTTATGTTTTCTTCGAGACGAATAACGTCTGTGAAAATGATGGAAAGCAATTCTAAACGCTCATTTGTAAAAGCAAACATCCTCAAATCCTACACAAATCCTGCACTAAGAGTTGGGACTATCACTGCAAGCAAGGTTCCATCTCTCCTAGGATTTAATGATGTGAAAGAGTTTGACAATGGATGGTTTGCAATAAAGAACAGAATTGATGAACATGTTTTAAATCCAAGAAGGAGTAAATTACCAAATTTTATTAGAGGCAAGCAACAGGAACAAAATGCAATACAACAATTTCAAAATGACAGTAAAATGAGTGTCTCTCAGTGTGGGTACTTCAAACATCCTTCTGATAGGAGATTTGGAGCCAGTCCTGATGGAGTGAGCACTGGGTGGCAGCAGTTTTTGGTTGAAATAAAAACCCGATCCCTTCCCAATAACACACAGCTAGAAAAACTAAACGAAGAGGAAAAAAACAAGAAAATGGAGATTGCATTGAAACCATTGCCATATGTAAGACAATGGATTATTACATTATTGAATATTTCACCAACATATCAATAATTAATCTCCCAAGTTAACCATAAATGCTGAAAGTCAATACTTTATCGAGTGACAGTACTCAATACAAGCATTGCTATCACAGTAGGTCTTCCTCCTTCCAACTAAATGTTGCACTACTCACATCATAGTTTTCAGGTGATGAGATCCAGTTTTCTGTACAGTCCCCAAATAGTACAGTGTCCTGAAAACCAGAAGACCAAAACTCTTTGGGTAACAATGAAATGACTTCCCCCGGGTATGGACTGAGGTCAATAGAGTCAAAAAGAGTTGAAAGAAATATTAACGATGCAGAAAAAATATGGGATATAGTTGAATCACTTGTGTTGGTGAGGAAAGCCATGACTCCAAGGTGCAATGTATGACGGCATATTGTAAAATAACACAACAATTCAGTTCTCTTTGTGAGTTTTCTTTGCCCATCTTGGTTAGTTTTGCAATCAGGATAAATTATTACAGAAATATATGGCTTGATGCATTCCAAAACACAATTAAAATCATCAACAGTTAATCCACTCATGTAAAAAAATCTTTTGGGTCGTAACTTGAGACATTCATATGAAAATGTCAAGTCTTTCATCTTCCCTTTAAATTGTGCAATCTGCTTGCTTAAACTGTCATTTTTTTCAGTGAGGTCTTTCACTTGCAGAGACAGTCTGTTTGCCTCTTCGGTTTTGTTCTCTAGCTTTTCTTTGAGCTCTTGTAATTCTTTTTGCATTATGTCAAATTTAGATTCATCTGAATTAAAGTCAAGTGAACAGGATGAACGTATGAGTTTCCTTCTCTTGGTGTTTGTTTGCTTAGTCGTACTCAGAGAACGTTTTGCGGAAGCAATTTTACTTTGTGGTGTCACTTTCTTTGTTGTTTGTTTATTCACGTAGTCCGGGTGGCACGCTCTATCTGGGAGATCATCTAAGTTGTTTCTAAATCCTTTTGACCAGTGTACTGAACATATAAAATCGCGTTTGAAGTCAACTGCTTTGTTCATCAATACTTTATTATAAGCATGTTGTTTGTCTTTGCATTGAGCGAAGTCACTTAAACGATAGTATTGTAATCCCTCGAGTTTAGTTCGCCAGGAGTTTGTACACAGAGCTGCAGCACAGTTCCAATGTTCACGACCTTCTTTAGTCTCTTTTCCTTGCACATTTGTGTATTTAATTGAAGGCGGATCTTCCAGGTTTTTTCGTACGCCTTTGGGCCAATGTTGTGTACAAATCACTTGTCTCTTAAAATTGACTTCGTTTATGGTTTTCCCGAGGACAAACAAATAAGCTTCGACAACAGGTTTACTAGCTGAAGCAACTTTAGTTTAGGTTAAGGCTTCCGTTTTCCAGGACGCTTTACAGCATCGACTGGCACAACTCCAATGCCAAGAGGTCTTATCGACCGCCATTTTGAATCAGGAATAGTACATGTACAAAGTCCGCAAAAATCCGGTAGTGCCAGTCTCCCGCGCGCCATGAAATCAGGCAATTGCTGACTTTTTAAGAACATTATCAGGTTTTTGGAAGAGAGTAATAGCACCAGAAACATTTGAAATGCGCATTCCAAGGAATCTTCCACCCTTTGTGATGCCAAGTGACTTTTTTTCACCATCCTATGACAACATTAGTGCAGTAGCTACCATGGACATTGATGGCCCTGTAGCTAACAAAGACACTGAGGACCCATCAGTTAGCCATGACAGTAGCCCAGTAGCTACTATGGACGATGATAATGCAGTAGCTACCAAAGACACTAATGATTCATCAAATGCCCATGACAACAGCAGCCCTATGGCTACCAAAGACACTGGTGACCAATCAGTAACCCATGGCAACAATAGCAGATCAACAATACATGGTGATAATCATTCTCCTGTTGATTTAGTAGTCATACCCTGGGGTGGTACAACAAGTTCTGGAATTCAATTAGCAAATACCTGTCTAATAGACAATTGGTTGATGATATTGCAAGCATTGGTAAAATAATGGAGAATAGTCCTTCATGAGTTATATAATGTTGGAAACATTATAAAGTCAGCATTATTCTCAGTAGACCTCAAGAGGTATGGAGATGCAAAGGTCACCCTGCCTTAAACACCTGTGATAAAGCATGGAATTATTGACTTTTATGGTAATGAATCAGGTAACTTTATAAGCCTTTTTCAGCCCTTTATAGCAACTACAATTACCTCATCCTATAACCTGAGCACCTGTCCATCAATGATTAAGACTCAAATATCACATGGCATTGCACTTGGATGTAATGATAACTACAGTACCTTTGTCAAAGCTTCATCCAAGAATGAATTGTTGTCAAAGGAAATTTCAAAGCAAACCCCCAGTTAGTATTCCAAGTCAGCCAGATGTGACATTGAATGGCAACGGTACCCAAACTGTATTTAGGACTAGTACACCATGTTCATTTTCCTGTTTCAAGAAATTTTTCATTTTTCTGTTGATTTATTGAGTAGAAGAACTCATCTTAGAACTAAAGATCTACCAAGCACCATAACCTTGAATGGGAAGCTACTGAATCTACACAGTGCAACATTATGGGGTGGTGGTCATTACATCTGTATGTTTAGCTATGCCAATACCTGGCTCATCTATGATGGACTTAAAGAACAAAGACAAATTAACTCTAAACTATCTGTGTTTAATGGTCAGCCAAAGGGATTTTTAGTGAGCCATGCTCTTTACATCAAATAAAGCAAAGCAAAGTAAAGCAAAAACAAAACAAAACAAAAAGGCTTTGGTCACATCGGATTATTTAGCAATAATGGTAGTTGTAATTTCTTGTTTTACATCAAGATTATCAAAATAAAACTGTTGCTTAACCCTTTAACTCCAAGAGGTGATTAACATGTAACTTCTCTCTACAATATCCATACAATATCCAGCAAACAGTTAA